AACAACGAGTGTGTGTGTGTGTGTGTGTGTGTGTGTGTGTGTGTGTGTGTGTGTGTGTGTGTGTGTGTGTGTGTGAAGGAGGGAGGGCAGTGCAAGCATCTCTGCTTGCCCATTGTTCCCTCTTGTTGTCGCGTTGCCTTAAGCATCCACGCTGTGCTCACAAACACACACACACACTCTCTCTCTCTCCCTCTCTCTCTCCTCCCGTCCCCTTGTTCTTTCTTTGCAGCAAGCCCACTATGAGGAGCGTGGCGAAGCGTATGAGGAGGATGACACTGGACCCAGGCGCGGCGGCGTTGAATGCGCTTCTCAATGATCACAACGATGATTGATAATGTGTCGACGTGTCATGCATGTCATGTCTTCTTCTTGAACCACGAACCAGCACCACCTTTCTGACCTTCTTCTGCATACGTACCTTTGTCTGTCGTGTCGCCGTTAGTACAATGTAAACATCATGAAATGTAGCGAATGCTCAAACCAAAAAAGGCACGCAGCCAACCAACAACCAAAAGCAACACACCCCACCCACTCCTGCTTTCATCCCATCATCACACATCACACATCCCCTTATCTCCCTCTCCTCACTCCCTCTCTCTTGCTTGTCTTCGTCGGCAAGAGCAGCGGTGGCAACGCACACACGCGGGCGATCCAAGGCGCTGACACACACCCACACACACACACACAGCATCAGATCACATCACACACGGCCAACACACTCGCGCGTGCAACTGCCAAACATTACGGCGTCCCAGCTTTTTTTGTGGGTTGTGCTTGATCTCCAACACTCAAACACACACACACACACACACACCCGACGCACGCAGACGCAAACACACGAGCCAGCCAGCAGCTGCCAATCAATCAGCCCTTGCTTGCCACTTGATTGTTCTGAGGCGGCTCGCGCATTTACATTCAGCACGCAGCTCGTGTACCGTCACAGCGCCTGCCTTCACCTCCTGCTTGTCTGCGTGACTGCTGAGAGGACTCACAGCACTGTCGCTGCACATACGCACGTATGATGGGTATGTGGGGCAGCAGCCGTGCCATCAAGTTTGAGGCACGGGTCTGCATTCGAGCATTACACGCCCTCCCCTACCACAACGGTGTGTGTGTGTGTGTGTGTGTGTGTGTGTGTGTGTGTGTGTGTGTGCGTCTGCCTCTCTCCTGCTTCTCTCGCTCTCAGCGTCTTTGTGTGTGCAGCGCCAGTCAACCAAGCGCCTGGGTTGTGGAGGCATCAAGTGATCGCCTTTTAACAACTGCCCTCACGCGCTCTCGTTGCCCCCTTTTCTTGTGCTCCCGTTGCCGTGTCGCCGCTGCAGCCGTGGTATTCTGCAGGGTAAAACACAAGGGCACTCCGTACTTGACATCGAGGTGTGTGTGTTTGTGTGTGTGTGTGTGTGTGTGTGTGTGTGTGTGCGATAACTGCGGGTCGCTACACTGCGCTGACCCGCGTCTGCTTGACGTTGGCCCTGCACGCGTCAACCCACTCGTCGCTACGCTGCCTCCTCTCCTTTTGCCTGCTCTCGTGTTGTTGTTCGTTCTCCGCAGCCCCCCCCCCCGCCTTGTCTTTGTCCCCACTCACTTCTGTGCTTGTGTTCGGGGTTCACCAGAGCATCTGCGAGGTTCAACATGGTGAGGTGGGATGAGACTATATCGTTCCCGGTCAAGACCAAGGTCAAGAAGAGCGGTACCGTTGCCCGAGACGACGTCACCATAACCGTCTTTCGCGAGGCAAAAGGCGGGCGAAACTCCAAACAGGTGCGTCTGTGCGTCTCTGTGTGTGTGTGTGTGTGTGTGTGTGTGTGTGTGTGTGTGTGTGTGTGTGTGTGTGTGTGTGTGTGTGTGTGTGTGCGTTCACTGATGACGACATACACGTCTTCGCAACCCCCCTCCCTTCTTTCCTGCTGATCCACTGCAGACGGCAGCTCGTCGTCATCCCGGCCCGTCTCAGAACGTAAGAAACAGCCATCATCATCATCATTATTTGACATGCAATGCATGCACTGCATCACTTGAATTGCCGCCTGTGGTGCCTCGTGTGTGCCAGCAATCGCACGTCGTCGTGTTGTCCTCAATTCGTCTCTTGCTGCCCTTCGCGTTTCCCCATGCTCAACTGTCTCACCTCGTCACCACGCTGCCCTCAACAAATGATCTGTTCCTGCCATCCCTGTCATCATCGCCATCACTGCCAGTGGGCGACCCAAGCGACGACCTGTCAGCGCTATTCGCCACCACCGCCGCCACCCCGCTCTCCCAGCAGGAGCACGCCATGAACTCGTGATGTTTGCCGTCGCTACTGTTGAGCACTGAGGATTTGGGGGAAGAGATCAGGTGGGCGGGGGCAGGAGGATGACATATCATCAGTGCGTGACGCTGGTATTGGTCTCTTCTGTGGAGTGAGGCTGTGGAGTTGAGGATGTGGAGACAATTTTCTTTCTATGCACGTGTTAACTTGCCCCTTGCTAATGTTCTACTCGTTTCTATTTGAAGACCAAATGTTCATAACTGCTGCTGTTGATGCTGTTGATGATGCGATGGGTGCTGTTGCGATTGGTGTTGGTGGCTGGACTCGCAAACGTAGTCTCAATCGAATACATCTAAGCGAACCAGACATCAGTGGTGCATGTGTGTGTGTGTTTGTGTGTGACCTCAGCCGCAGTTGGTCGCGCTTGCGCGTGTTGGAGGTTTCAATGTGGACTGGACAGAAGATCACAAACGTCAAATGCAGCCAGACACGGAACCAACGCCCAACGCAGGCGGAATGCCTGAGCGATGGCACGGCCATGAGATACATATCCCCACAGAAGAACAGAAGGAGAGATGATGTGTTGCAAGTCAAACAAATAACAAGACCTTTTGTAGGGCAGTTGACGCGTCACATTGGTAGGGCACGTGGCGTTAGGAGGCGGAGTTGCCGTGCTTCTTCTTGGCCAGACGCAGAAGCTTGATTGCCTTTCCTACCTTGACGCCGGCCTCGATGAGCATCTGCTTGGTTAGGTCGCCGTCAGTCGCTGCCTCTACCAAGTCCTCCAGCGTATCGATGCCGTGCTCTACCAGGGCGGACTCGACGTGCGGCAGCAGCGAGTGGCGGTTGAGCCATTGAATCAACTCGGGCTCAAATGAGCTTGAGGACGAGGGAGACAACGGGGTGGCAGTTGGTGGTGTAACAGGGGTGATAGCGGTGGAGATCGAGGACGAAGATGACTGCACGGCAGACAAGTTAGAGGGGTGGAGTGAGACACAGCACGCGTGCCAAGTGGAAGGCGTGGGTCATGGGTGCATGGGTGCATGTGTGCACGAACACACACACACACACATGCACAAAAAACTATACCTGCGAGGAACTAGATGCAGTTGTTGGTCCCTGCGCTGCTTGCTGCTTGCTCCTGGCAGAGACGACGACCTGGCGCACCTTCTCCGCAATGTCGCGCAGCTGCGACGTGCGGTCCACAGTGGCATCCATCGCAACCACGGCGTCAATGTCAAACAGCGATAGCACCACTTCACGCACGCTTTTGTGCTGCTGGGGTGGTGGCAGGTGCAGTACCTGTGATAAGAACTGGTCGAGCTCTGCCGCCGTGTTCTTGCTCACAACATCCGGCAACTTCGTTGCCAGCCGCTTCAGGCGGTCAAACGAGTCGTACTCGCTCACTTCCGCCGCGCTCATAACATGGTGGTTGCTGTCGTGCCAGCCACTGCCAACGAAGAGCGGGACGATGCGGCGAAGGCGGATGTTGTCTGGATGCTGGCGAGCAAGCTGCTGCAGCTCCAGCATGGCCATCCACTCCAACAGCACGTTATCGCACGTGTCAGTGTGGCCGAGCGAGCGCATCTGATGGATGGCACCGACGGAGACGACGGGGCAGGCGACAGTACTGTTGTGCAGGGCTGTCATGCACGCGTGCTTGAAGTTGACGCCTGTCTCCAAGTTGTTGGCGTCCACAAAGGTCACCAGTCCGTGCTGGTCCAACTTAGGGTACAATGTCATCACCAGGCCTCGGTTGCCGCGTTGCCTGTGACGTGGTGGTGAATATCGAAATGAGAAAGGAAGAGAGGGGCAAGGAAAGACACACAGTTCGCACCGTACACACATACACACACACACACACAAGTCTCACCGGTAGCTGATGAAGGCATCGTATTTGTCCTGCTGACCCATAACTGGCAAGAGTGGACCATACTTGGCGACCAGATCCCCTGGTGACAGCAGGTGTGAGCGGCCAACGCGAAGCGCTTTCTTGTTCATGTGGTGGGTGTGCACGTCCTCGAAGAACAGCAGTCTCGTGTCATTCAATGGCAGCAGCAAGGTGGCCTTGAGCTCGGGGTAGCGCTGCGTGACAGCTGTTGTGATGGTGTCGTGCAGCATGTGCAGCAGTGTGCGAGGACGTGCAGTCATGATCTTGATCTTGATGCCACCAACAGCCGGCACGAGCTGCATCTCGATCTCAGCAGCATCCATGAAGATCACGGCGTCTGTGCGGCTCAACATGGGCGGTTCCGTTGCACCGTGCTGCATGTGTGCCATCACGCATGCCAGCACCATCGGGAACAGGCCCTCTGGCAGGAAAGAGGCTTGCTGCGTGTCTGCAATCTTGACGCTCACACCGCTCTTGAGCTCCCTCAGGCTGAAGGCGACATACGCGGTCTTTTCTTCATATCCAACATATGGATTGGCCTGCTGTGCTGCTGCCGTGCTCAGCGTGACCGACGAGGACGCCTGTTCATCCTCCAGCGTCATCGGCAGGATGGCTGGGACGAGGTACTGTTGGTGGTGGTGGTGTTGCTGTTGAGGGCTGGACAGCAGCACCATTGGCGCCGTGTACTGGATACACAACCCGTACTCCATCATGAGTTGGAGAAAGGGCTCAACCATGCCACCTTCCAAGTCCCTCCACAGCACATCAAGTAGACGGCGGTGCAGGATGCCGCAGTCAACCAGGTCATCCCACAGCTGCGCGCCAATGGCCCTTGCCTCGCCATCACGCACGTCGTGGTGCAGGTCAAAGTTACGGATGACGCGGGTCATTGTGTCCACCGCCCACGGCGGACTCAGGATCACATAGTCTTCCATGCCTGGCACACTGTCGTAGTACAGCACCATGGAGTACAAGTGCAGGAACTGAAGGCAGGCTCTCGTCTCCTGACGTGTACGCAGCCCACATGTGCGTGCAATATCCACGACCTCGTCAAACGTGAGCAGTGGTCGCTTCTCGTTGCGGGCAATGGCGTTGAGCTTGTCGTAGAGGTGGAGGTACGGCACAGCCACCTCCTGGCTCACGTACTCCTGCGCCAGTGCTGTGGAGGAGATGGTTTGGCGCAGGTCCTGGATCATGGGATCATGGATGGACTGGGTGTTGTCGACGGGCCAGAACCACAGACCATGCTTTTCGTTGTGGATGACGCCAGGGAAAGCGGGGTTGTGGCGCAGGCGGCTGTAGATGCCACGCGAGATGTTCTCGTGCTGTTTCCGCTGACTAACCACATCAGCGAAGGTGCCGACGATGAGGACGGGTGCGCCCTTGGCGTGGAGGTGGAGGGAGGAGAGCCAGTGCTCCATAAACTCCCACGATTCAGCCCGCTTGCTCTTGTCTTGGTGCAGCAGATCCTCCATTGAGAACACCAGCAGGTACACCGCGTACCTGGTGGGTGGGATGCGGGTGTATGGAAGGAAGGTGTGGGTGGGTGAGTCGGGTGAGGAGGGGCTGGGAGGAGTGGAAGTGGGGTGAAGGGAAACATGCAAGCATACTGACGCACACACACACACAGTGACTCACTTGGTGAGGAAGAAAGGGTGGAAGATGTAGAAGGTAGACTGGCCGCCCAGGTCAAAGATCTTGAACGTGACCCGCGCTTTGCCCTCGCCCATGACCGCGTCCACGTTGAACTCCTTGATGGCTTTCTCCATTTCCTCCGTCGACATGCCGGTCGTGGCGGTGGCGGTGGCGGTGTTATCACGGGCAGCAGCATCACTTTGGCTCGAAGGGTTCAGGGTGGCATGCTTCTTGGATGCAGATGCTGAGTCATGAGATGCCTTGGTGGGTTTGGGGACAGTCGATGGCGACGTGTGTGAGGATGGACGTGGCCGCGTCTCCTTTGCATTCTGTAACTGCTTCTGCTTCAGCTTGGCAGCCGCTGCCTTCTGTGCCTTATCAGATTCCTGCTGTCGCTGCTGCTGTTGGTGTTGGGCGATGCGGCTCTCCATGTCCTCTTTCGCCTTCATCATCGCCTGCTTCATTTGTAAGTCCACGCCGGATTCCTGCGCCAGCGCCGTGCCGCAGAGGCTGCGCATCAGCTCCGAGATCTCCGCATCCAGCTCCTGCAAAGGTTGTGTGTGTGTGTGTGTGTTTGTGTGTGTGTGTGTGTGTGTGTGTGTGTGTGTGTGTGTGTGTGTGTGTGTGTGTGTGTGTGTGTGTGTGTGTGTGTGAGTGAGGGGATGATCGTGTCAACCACCACCTCTTTTCACACCCAGGCGTCGCACACATCACATGCTCGCACCAGACAAGGGTACACACCTGCCAGTCGTGAACGTCCATGGACTCGACGATAACGGCGAGGTCAGTTGTGGCGGCGCCATGCGTGGAGTGCTCGTGTTTGTTGAACATGTGACCCATGAGCGAGTGGAACGTGGAAGTCTTGCCGGCGCGCCCCTGACCGATGAAGATGAGCTTGGCCCTGCCCGCCATAGTCGCGTTGAAGCGCGCAATGATCTCTCGCATGCGCTGCTGGAGACGCTCCCTGCGCGCCTGCTCGGGCTGCTGCTGCTGGTGGCGGTGGTGACGGTTGTGTGAGACATCATGATTATGCTTGATACGAGACCACGGAGAGCGTGATGAAGGAATGGCATGGGTGACGTGATGCATTTGCTTGTGCGTCGCTGGCAAGCACTTGTCAAATCACTCACGTCTTGCGCTGCTTGTTCTTCTTGCTTCGGTCCGGCGGCAGGAGTGGGCGCAGGTGGCTCTTGTTTTGGCTGCTGTTGCTGTTGTGGTTGCTCCGAAGGCTTGCCGCCTGGCTTCAGCCCTTGGATGCTGGTGATGGCAGTATGACCGCTGGCTTGTGCCACATCATAGGGCGTCTCTCCCTGCGTGTGTTGAAAAGGTAAAACGCATGAGTTGAGGAAGGAGGGAAGCAGGGAGAGGGGAAGGACACAGCGCAAAGCAAAGAAGCAGTTGTGTCACGTCTTCAGAAACAGCAACACGACGCGAAGCACACCTTCTTGTTCTTGACGGCAGTGTCTGCGCCCTTCTTCAGGAGTAGCTCCACGACGGCGGGCTGGTTGTGCCTGCAGGCAACGTGCAGTGGCGTGTCGCCCTGTGGATGGGTGGGGGCAGCAAGGGGCATGGCATGTGTGGTGAGGATCTGTTTGAAACGAACACACGGCCGGTGCAACCATGAGCGAGCGCCGTCACACACAAGCACAGCACACACACACACACACACACACACACACACACACATATATGACCTGTTGGTTGATGTCTGTATTGTCCTGCTCGATGAGGGACGTGACAGCGGGAGCGTCGCCATCCCTGCAGGCGGCAAACAGTTGCTCATGCTGCCGCTTCTTCTCCGCGCGTGCTTCGTTAAAGGCGGTCTCGCCCTCATCGTCGCCACTCCTGTGATCTCACGCGACATTGGACGCAAGCACCACGCAGCGTGTGTGTGTGTGTGTGAGGTGAAGGCTAAAGCAGGGAGCAAACGACTAGAGTGGAAGCACATGTTGACTGACCAACTCCCTGTGTTGAGTTTTCGGTCGACGGGCAGCGCGGCACCAAAGGCGCGGGCGGTGGCGGTGGAGTTCTTCTCGATGCTGAACGAGGACACGTGGTGGTAGCGTGTGGTTGGGAACAAGCAGCAAGTGCGGTGTGTGCGTCAGGAGGGTTGGTGGTTAGGGTTGTGGAGAAATGCAAGCAAGCAGAGAGGAACACACAGTGTGGCGTGCACTCAAAGAGTGGTGATTGGTCACACAAATCCACAACAGGACACAGGCGTTCATGAGGCAGGCGCAACGCAATCGACGTACTCAAGCCGAGACAGCGTGCGGTTTTGGTCCAGTGCGGCACCCAGCGCCGCACCGCCAACCGGGGTGATGGAGTTGTTATCCAAGCTGCAAGTGGCAAGAAATGCATGTTGGAAGAGCAGGGGAACGGGTGGGCAAGCAACAATTGTCAGTGTCATGGATGAAAGTGGGTTGCAGATGGATCACGTGCACGTGTACTCGCTCGCACATCAGGTCCTACGACATTGAAGTCACAATGGCGGAAGCAAAGGGGGCAAATGCAAATTGCACAGGATGTCGCCCTATCCGCGTCGCTCCGCCCTCGACACAACACCTATGTATCCATAAACCTGGTCGCTTTGTAACACTTCGGGAAGTGAGGTATGCTCATGCCATGATAAGGCTACCATCGGAGAAATTCTTCGCCAACGCCACAGCGCCTCATCGCGGATGGAATTGTTGTACAGGCTGTCAAGACGGTATGGTGGATGCCACACAGGGCGATGATGCCACATGGATGAGGAAGAGTGAGTGCGTGCGTGATGATGATTGTTGTGGGTGGCAACACAGTCATCAACCACACATGTGCACGTGGTTAGGTGCAACGGCAGTGACGCAGCCCACATGTGTGTGTGCGTGTACACACTCACTAGAGTTCTTTGAGGGCCGTGTTGTGCTTCAACATCTCCGCCAACGCCACGGCGCCCTCAGGACCGATGGAATTGCCATACAGGCTGTCAAGAGGTATGATGCCACACAGGGCGATGATGCCACATGGGTGAGGAAGAGTGCGTGCGTGAGTGCGTGATGATGATTGCTGTGGGTGGCAACACAGTCGTTGAACCCCACCCCATCAACCACACATGTGCAAGTGATAAGGTGCAACCGCAGTGACGCAGCATACATGTGTGTGTGTGTGTGCGTGTCCACACTCACTTGAGTTCTTCGAGGGCCGTGTTGTGCTTCAGCATCTCCGCCAACGCCACAGCGCCCTCAGGGCCGATAGAGTTGCCTGCCAGGCTGTGCAGACACACACGAAACGCGGGGAGCGAAGGTGAACAGACGTCCAAACATGCGCCAGCAGGAGAGGAGAAAGGGGTGCAACACGCAACACCGCCACCCCAATCAACCATGCATGTCACACGATGCAGATTCATCATCACCACGCACTAGAGTCGTTTGAGGCAGGTGTTGTCCTTGAGCGCCTCTGCCACCGCACGCGCCCCAATGACGCCGAGGCCATCACCACCCAAGCTGTAATTCCAAATGGTGTGTGTCATGAAATGAGCAAGAAGACTGAGGATCGAGAGAGCAAAAACATGAGGGTGCCAGTCACAACCTGCCACAACCACACATAGTGTGTCCAGGCGGTGCGAGGGGACAGGACACGCACATGTGAACACCCAACAGCAAGCTACACCACGCTCATTGCAACACGAGGACAATCGAAGCAGAGAGAGAGGGGGGAGAATCAGCACAAGCACAACCACAAGAGTCCTTGTGTCCAACACATGCATGTTCCAACATGTCGTTTTGGTTGCTTTTGCACTCACCTCACATAGTCCCCACACGTGTTGTTGGCGATGGCCCTGATCTCTTCCTTCACCCCATCCTTCACCTTCGTCTGCGCCAGCAACGCCTCCACCTCCCTCCTCGCTCTCTTCTCTTCGCCGAACATGGCGGCGCGTCGTCTTTTCTCCTTGTGGCTTGTTGTGACGTGTTTGTGAGCGGCTGGCTGGAAGAAGACGACGACAAAATGGACGACAACAACTCAACGCGCTGCTTTGTTTTCCTTTGTGTTGTGTGTTGTTGTTGTTTGGCGACTCAGCCATTGGACGATTCGCAAAACCTTACAGAGGTTATCCGCAAAGCAGCGCTTCCGTGGAAGATGTTCGTCAACAATCTCTTCGAGCCCTCGTTGTCGACAGGAACACAACAAACAAACAGGATGAAGTGCGTCCAGCCAGCCAGCCGGCAAAAACTCGCTTGTCGCGCCGAAAGGAACAACAGCCGCGCCCTCCTCGCTTCTTTGGTCTTGCCTGGTTGGCACAACACACCAATGTCTGTAGCCACATCAACACCACAAACATCACCGCCGCTCCACCATCACCACCGTCAAGCGGGTCTCATCATTTTCATCGAGCCATTTCCTGAGGAAAGAACAGGTCAGCCACACAACCCACAAACAACGCCCCCAGCCCAACACACATCAACACACACACATCCACACACACAGCAGTGCCCATACGCAACAGGAAGCCAAGCCAACCAAACAACAGCCAACCCCTCTGCACATCAAACAACACCCTCCAGTTACAAGCCAAAATCAAACCACACACAGCAGCAGCAGCAGCACACATCCACCAAACACACCAAGAACGTGTTCAGCCGTACACAGCGCCATACAATGAAAAGAACAGGCAAGCACAAGAAGGGCGTGACATAAGCAAGCAAGCAAGCAGGCAGGCGAGAGGGAGAGTGAAGGAAGGGAAGAACAGAACAGAAGAAGAGAAGAGAAGAAGAGGGAAGAGAGCAAGAAACGGAAACAAGAGGAATGCGACAGAGGAACCGACAGACATTCAGCCATTCGTTCAACTGGTGCACAAGTTGACACGACACATCACAACATGGCGACTATGCGGACGAGCTAAGTGCCTCAACAGCGCGCTGCACGCGGCGTGCACCTCCGGGGTCCTGCGTCAACTGCCCCAACACACCGTGGGCAGGCGAATCCTGCATGTTCTACGAGAGGAAACGACACGAGGGCGTGAGAATGAGGAGAGGAAGGAGGAGGAAGGAGGAGGGAGGAAGAGGGGGATGGGAAAGTACACGAAGTACACGACAGTCGCTTATATTCGAGGCAGCAAACACCCACACACCCACATCACATCAATCACACACAACACAACCCACGCACCATGAGGCTGTGTACATGCCCTGGCAGTGGGCCTTTCGACGGCGGCCGCGGGGGTGCCAACACCTGCACAAACAAACGCCCGCACAATCTTCACCGGGCTCTCAGGCGCGGTCACGCGTGGATCTCGCCTACAGAAGCAACAACAAAAGGAAGGAGAGGGAGGTACAGGAAGCAATGGGGGAGGGGACGTGGGTCAGTCGGGAACAAGAACGACAGGCGGCAGAGCACACCACCGACACATGCAGCACGACCAGGCCATGCACACACACACATAGACACACACACACACACACACACACACACACACACACACAAACACACACAAAACACAGTCGTAGCGCTCACGCTTGGGGGACCTCGACGAGGTATGTGAAGATGTTTGTTGTTTCATCGTCTTCTTCTGTGAGGAGCCGCCCGTCAAGATGATGCGTCATCTTCTTTGTTGTACAATGGTTGGTGGAGGATGGGTGGATGAGGTAGTGAAGAAGCAACGACGAGGAGGTGACAAGAGCAGCAAACCACCGCAGCAGGAGGACGACGAAGGAGTGTAGTACTGCATACCACCCCATCACCACACACACACGCACACACACACACACACACACACACACACACACACACACACACACACACACACACACACACACAGCCCCAGCGTCTCACCTCGTGCCTTCTTTTCTCACACATTTGTGTGTGCGTGTATCGCCCTGCTCGTGTCATGAGGGCTTGGGAACAGAACGGCCACCGTCCTGTGCAAATCACATGCATGTGCACATGCGCAAGCACAAAGAACCAAATTAGCACGAATCACACCACGCAGTGAGCCAGCATGGCAGAAACAAACCACATCCACCTCCTTTGTCACATTCACATCACCCACATCACCACCTGTGCACGCACATTCCAAACACAGATACACACCACCACCACCACCCCCACCACAAGCATCACACCTGCACATGCGTGTGCGTACGCAAGTCCACATCCACCACAAATCAATCACCACCATCATCATCATTCATCGTCATGCGAGGGAACGGCACATCGACGCACATTACACCCCCTGTACGTGTGCGTGTGGGGAAAGAAGTGAGTTGGACAGAAACAGGCTGTCAACTACAACAAAAACCCATTTGTCTCCACCAACAGACACAAAGACATGCAAACCTACACATCACAAATCACACACCCCCGCGCGTGCGTGATGTTTGATACCCAACACATTGAAAGTCAACTCACGTCAGCGCCCACCACCATGTCATTTTACTCTTCACTCTTGTTGCAGTCGCTGCTGTTTGGTGT